TACGTGATAACTAATTAGACGTGATAATTGGGAATTACTATCTAAAAGGACTTGTTCATATCTAATTCTAACAACTATGATACATGTTGCTTTTATACAAATCCAAGATATAATTTCTAGGTTATACGAATTCATGTACGCTATATCACTTAAATTCTATTGGTCCAATATTCGTTCGCTCGTTCGTTCGCTCGTTCGCTTAGTTATTCGTTCGTTCGCTTGTTCGCTTGTTCGCTCGCTTGTTCGCTCACTTCACGTGATATAATCTTTATCCAATAATATATGAGATATTTATAATCTAATAAAATATTATGACGAAAGGTCATTATACAACAATATTATTTTCATTTTAATGTAAAAATAAAAAATATTTTTTAGTAAAATTGAAAACTTTTATATAAAGAAAAAAAACTTGTATTTTTCATATTTTTATTATGTTTTATTAATAAATTTGTTTTGTTATTACATTGTTACTATATACATATATAAATTATTATTTATATTTTTGTATAAAAAAACTTTTATATAAAAAGAAAAATCTGTATTTTATTATATTTTATTAATAAAATTACATATATAATAAAAGTTATTGTATTATATATAAATGAAAATATATAAATAATTAGAAATATTAATAGTTTTAATAATTTAAAATCTAATTATTTATAATAAATATTTTTTCTTAAGAAATTTTTTTGAAATTATTAAATTTTAAATTTTTAAAATTATTATAAACAATTCTATAAAGAAAATTTATTTTAAAGCTAACAATTTTTATGAAAAAATATTATAATTGAAACTGATTAATATTCTATAAATAATTGTTTTATTTCAATATAAAAGTTTATTAATAAAGTTATATAATTTTCAATTAAAAAACTTTTTTAATCTGAATCTAAAAAATAAATAGCTAATCAACTTTATTAAGTTTAAAATTTTATAAAGTGAAAATATTAAGTATTTATTATTTTAATCATGAAAATCAATTAATTTAAAATTATTGATAAATTCATGATGAAATCTTTATAAATATTTACAAATAGTCCTGAGTGCAATCAAACTTCTCTATAATGATTGATACTTTTTTTATAGTCGCCATCTGTAATAAAAATGCTTTTTATAAAGATCGTCCAATTTGGCTTAACTAACTATAAAGAAAAAGTGATTATACATGTATAATCACTTTTTCTTTATAACGATGATTGAAAAATATAATACGGATATGCAATGGTGAATTTTTAACTTTTACCGACAATAACAACCATGAACTATTTGGCGCGTTGTTCAATTAAAGAAAAAAATTCGAAAAAAAGAATAATTTTGAATTGAAGGCAATCATCTGCTGAATATAAATAACTCATTCAAAGTAAGACATTTTGTTAATTGAATTGAATTATAATTGAAAATTTAAAATACGTCACATGAAGCTCTAGCATTATTCACGAGGCATCCCGAATTAGTCATCAAAGTAATTCTACTTTAAATTCTTTGAATAAATGAGATTATCATTTTTTTTTGAATAAATATTCATTACATGTAAACCGCATAAATTATAGATTGGTGTACTGGACACTACGCGAAGGCAACCACAAAATATGCGATCCACAAATTTGTGCGATGATAAAATAGTCGTAAATGGTAGTCTCTTACATGTTGCTAAACGAAGAATACGATCCAATCAATCATTTAAATTATTTTTGGTCATATCTAAGTAATTAATTACTGTAGTGAACTATACCTGACTTTTTACTGGTGAAAAATTCAAAACGAACTAAAGAAACACTTGGGCCTCTGTTAATTCAACCCTCCTCTTCAAGCAATACAAGCTTACAAAGTACCACTACCTTCAAAAAAGTCCAACTCGATTCCAATCTCTATTTTTTTCATTTTAATTGTTACCTCATTCGATACTTAGTGTCGTTTAATCATGCCTTTGGTGAGTTTGTGATTTTTATTCGAATACCTTTCAATCTGTATAAAAATAGTTTCTTAACATTAAACAAATTTATTTTTTTCGTGTGAAAAGGAATACGCTTTACAACATAGGTAAATATATATTAACTATTGGACGCGTAAATGGTTCTCGAATTTACTCTTTATGTATTTCTGGATGCAAGCACGCGCGCTTGGCTATAATATACGTGTTTAGTCAATCTGATAGCAAGAGTTTAGTTGCCGCGTGTGAGTAGATGGTAGTTTGCGCCGCATAACAACAAATATTGATGGTTTACTTTATGAACTTTTTGATGCAGAGGGCTCTTTCCAGATCCTGGACCCTGGAAAGTTCCTCCGGCTCGCAAAGTCACTCTTCGCGATACTCTAGGTATTGAAGCTCTTCCACGGCAGCGTTTTAACAAAACAAAACGAACGCCATATGTACTCAATATAATGGTTGTCGGTATGTATTCACCTGATGACTTTAGCTATGCCATTTTTGTACTAGTTATTTAGTATTTGTTTTTTGATATGTTGAAAATGGAAATTTAGGTGAAAGTGGCCTTGGCAAAACCACTTTTATGAATACACTTTTTAATACTCCTCTTCGAGAAGAAATTCTTCCGAGAAATCCGCAAGCTACAAAAACTGTGGAGGTTGCCCCTGTACATTATGGTAGAGTATTTATAAGAGATGTATTATACTATTTCCTATTTTTTTTTTGGATAGAAATTCAGTTTCTTTCATTTTTGTCAATAGAACTGACTGAAGACGGCGTAATGCTTAATCTTACTGTTGTTGATACTCCTGGATTTGGTGATCAACTTAATAGAGAACACAAGTGAGTTAGTTAATTGCACCATATATATCCGACAAATTCTGTAACTTGACTGACATCGATCTTTTTTGATTATCTTAAAGTCTTGACCCCATTGTTGAATATATTGATAATCAATTTGAAGCATATCATGCCGCCGAACGTAGTCCTGAATTTCGACGGGCTATTCCAGATACTCGTATACATATTTTATTGTATTTCATTGCTCCCACTGGCCACGCGTATGTCTATCAACTAATGATTTTTGTACGGAAACTTGATATACGAGAATCGAAATTTTAATCTTTAATATTTCTCTACAGTCTCAAGGAACTTGATATCAAAGCCCTTCAAGTTTTATCAGCAAAAGTTAATGTTATTCCTGTCATCGCAAAAGCTGACACCTTGACACAAGACGAGAAAGCGGCATTCAAGAAAACTGTAGGTTTTAATATGCATCATTCAATAAATAGATGATTTTTTTTATCATATTTATTAAGATCTAAAGCTAATAATATTATCAATTAAAATCTAGATATTAAGAGATATCGAGGCTAATAATATCAGGATTTTCCCAACAGCATATCAAGATGATCGGGAGAGTGTCGAGGACCTTGAGGTAAATTGATTTCTATAATTTACCATTTACTTAGAGCAGCAAATGTAAACATGCAAGTACTCTTACGAAATATTATTTCTCGAACTTTTTTCCACCTAATGTTACAAATACAGAAATATATTCCATTCACAGTTATTGGAAGTGACCATTTTGTGGATGTCAATGGAAAACAAGTACGAGGAAGGATTTATCGGTGGGGTGTTGTTGAGGGTATGTATTTTATATTTTACATTGATTATTGATTACATTGAATCAATTTACGAGTTAAACTTTTATAATTTACTTAGTCGAGAATGAAAATCATTGCGATTTCATTCATCTTCGTGAACTCCTCATGACTCACGCGTTGCACGATCTTCTTGAAACCAGCCACACCGTCCATTATCACAACTATCGTGCGGATAAACTTCGTTCAAATGGTCGTCCAGAATCAATTTTAGCCTGTGACGAGTCCTACGAACACAGAATCGAACGAAGCAAACAAAATATGGCAGAAGACATGGTGAGAAAAGAAGAGGAGATGCGACAAAACTTTGTATTGAAAGTAAGAGAGAAAGAGGCCAACTTAAGAGAGAGAGAAGAACAGGTAAATTTTATTAATTTTATTAATTATCTTAAAGAGTGTTTCTTTCAAACATTGGTTATTTAATTATTATATTTCTTTATTCAGCTCAATCAACGCAGACGACAACTTATGGCGGAATTGGAAGAACAACGTTTGGCACTTGCATCCGAAGAGCGTGAGTTCCAAGAAATGTATACCGCAAGTCGTGCAACAAGGTAAATATATAATTATATATTTCAATTCACATTTATTTTGCTTACTTGTGTTGATATTAATGATAAATCTTTGCTTACTTGTATTTATAGTAGTGTCTCGAAAGGCAGCAAGCTTTTCAGCAAGAAAAATTAATAAGTATCACACAATAACAACAATTTACAACAATTAATTTTTAATTTTCTTCTGGTTACAACACCACCGTTACAGTTATTTATTATCCCAATTGATTTTTTCCAATCTTAGATTTATTATTCATTTAAGGGTCAACGCTTACTATTAGATCAAATCAATTCTTATCATTTTGTATTACTTCTTTTTACTAGACGATGAAAATTTTAGCGGTTGTTTACACCATCTATATATATATATTTTAATTTTTGGGGCTAAATCAAGTTTTTGATTTAACTTAGAAAGCCTGCGCGAGGCATTTATTTTTCATTATTATACTTTATATTATTACTATATTAATCTTATTTAGACTTGTTGTAGTAAAACATTTATTAGGTAGTATTTATCGTTACATATTATATGTCGTCATACACATAACCATAGTATGAAATTTATGAACTTCGGTAAACAATGGTGACAATCTTTTAACGATTAATATGTAAAAAAAAAAATAGGAAACAATGGAACAACAAATCACTTAGTGCTATGAAAAAAATTTTATTCAATGTTTTCCGCATTTTATATCAAAGTAATTTTAAATAAACAGTTCTGTCAGTAGCTCACATTTCTAAACAAAAATCACCTTTTTTTAACAAAAACCACCTTTTTTTAACAAAAACCACCTTTTTACAACCTGGCTTAGAACAAGACTACTTACCAAAGTGCAAGCAAAATCCAAGAGACATATGACGTCTCAGTTGAAACATTGCGACGATGGGCCGCCTCCGGAGAACCTGCAGAAGACTTGCTCGATCGTTACGGTATTGTGACAAGACATAACGGAATACGTTCAGCCGCCAACCGCAGAAGAAGACGAGAAGCTACCCAAGCTCAAGAAGATCAAGAGTTCCAAGATCCCAGCAGGCAAGACACAACGTATCCGTCTCTTTTCTACCCAAGAAGAGCAGTCGAAACTCGGACAATGGATAGGGACAGCACGCTGGACGTACAATCAATGCCTTATCGCGGTCGAAAAAGGTGTCAATCGAAACAAAAAGGATTTGCGAGCACGATATCTCAACGCCGTAAACTTTAAGAATGATACAAAACTTAAGTGGGTTATAGAAACGCCTTATGATATACGAGATGAAGCTATGAACGACTTGCTTAAAGGATATTCTTCCAACTTTGTTGCAAATCATAAAAAATTCAAGATGAAGTTCCGTTCTAAAAAGGATTCTCAACAGTCAATTGCAATACTTTCTAACACTGGGGCAAGTTTCGTGGTGAATACGCATTTCTTCATAAAATCAAGTCGGCAGAACCTCTTCCAAATCAACTTGAATATGATAGTCGTCTTGTTGTAAATCGTCTTGGTGAATTTTACCTTTGCATATCTAAACCACTTGAAATATGGACCGAAAACCAAGGTCCTTTATTTTTAGGAGTGCAAGAAAAGGTTTTTATTTATTTTTAAGTTATTATCATTATATTATTTATATCATCTATACAAATGTTTTCTTGTCCTATATTAATATTAAAAAGATCTTGATATTTTATATTAAATAATTTTATATGTTTATATCAGTATACAATAATATTTAAAGAATAAAAAGAAATTAAAAATTAATTTATTCATTTAATAATTTAATAGGAAGGATCAGGAGTGATTGCTCTGGATCCAGGCGTGCGTACATTCATGACTGGCTATGATCCAAGTGGAATAGCTATTGAATGGGAAATGATATTAGTAGAATTTATCGGCTTTCGACTCTATTCATGGAAAAATACACAAACGAAAACGATACGAGCTTCGCAGGGTCATGCTTCGTATACATAAAAAAATCCGTTGTCTTATTAATGATTGCCACCATAAACTTGCCAAATGGCTGTGTCAAAATTATCGTATTATTTTGTTGCCTGAGTTTAAGACACAGGGAATGGTTATGCGTGGAAAACGGCGAATTCGTTCTAATACTGCACGGATGATGTAAACATGGTCGCACTTCCGATTCCGCCAATATCTTCTACATAAGGTTCGTGAGCATCCGTGGTGTCAGGTAATTGTATGCACTGAAGAATATACTAGTAAGACGTGTGGGTGCTGTGGCCATATCCATCAAAAGCTGGGTGGATCCAAAGTGTTCCGTTGCCCCAGTTGTACAACTGAGCTTGATCGAGACATCAATGGTGCTCGCAATATACTTCTTCACTATCTCACCCACCAAAATCAAGAGTCGGTTTATGCTGGCGCTGGGACCTACCTCCTAGGATCTTGATGATCCTCGCAGGACATATATATATTTCCTTATTGGGCATGATCAGAAATGTGATGTTTGATAAGGAAATATATAGGTTTAATTGTAGGCGTTTCAGATGTTGAACCAATTTCGAATAATATACAAACAGGGCTCAATTGTTATAGATGATCCGGTTATATATATTTTATTTCATAACTATTAATTTAATGACAGTATTGTCTTTTTAATAATGAAGAAGCTATTTAATGTTATCAAGATAAAGATTATTTAATTAATCAATAACTATATAATTTTATCTCGAATAAGTTATCATAATATAAATTAATAAATATACAAAAAGAAATGTTGATTACTCCACAATATACTGTGCCATAAAATCTAATGTCTCCTCATCCTTAAAGAATGTCAAATTCCATTTTCCCTTTTCATTCAATGTCGCCTCAAGCGCATAAATCACACTTCCATCACTCGAATTTCTCGCAACCTTTGGTATAGTGATGGTATCTTTTCCAGGGGTGAATAAACAGAATTCCGGTAATGTTTGTTCATCTCGATCAAAAACCACAAATTCGAAGCGTTGTTTAGTGTTATATTTTAGGGTAGGATGAATTGGAGTGAGGATGGTGAATGAGAGTGGGACGGAGAACACGGTGACAAAGGGAGAGTCGGTGTGTGAATGATGTGTAATTCCTTTTCCGTGGTTGTGTACTTTGAATTGGGTTGCCAGTGGACCCTAATTAATAATAATCATCGTAATGAAATTAATAGGTGAGTATTGGATCAAAGTCAGGGAAAAAACAATAAACAATTAATTTACCTCTGTTCCATTCAACAAAACAAAAATATTTAATTTCCCTTCACCACTGCTTGGAATCTCACATAAAATACGATATAATCGTCCTCCACGTTTTCCGTGACCGCCAAGTCTTTGTATAAACACTGGCACTTGTTTTCCATCCCAATCCAAATATGCATGCAAAGCTTTACTTTCATCCGGCCGTGTTCTCTCAATCTCCAATTCCAATCTACTATCTTCGACTGTAATCTTAGTGCCCATTCTCTTTGTGAACGATAATCCAGCGGCAAAATATGGCGGTTTCACAAAAGGTAATGAAATGAATTCTTGTACTGTGATCGGTGGTGATAAATATTGTTCCTCATCTTTTCGCGGCAAATGACTATAAATGAATTTGGTGGGTGAGGTGAGAAAGTAAAATGGTTCGTAGTGTTTAACAAATTTGGTTCCTCGCACGTTTCCAGCTCCCCATGTGCTGTCGATTAAGAGAAATTCCCCACGAAGGCAGATAGCATTCCATGCATGTCCATATAGACGGTCTTCAATATCAGCACCTGGTACATAGCCTGCACCTTTTGCCCGACCACTTATTTTCCAGACTTCAAGATTTGCTTCTTTTGCTAGAGCATTAAAGAGCTCACCGTAACCATCACATACCGCCAATCGTTTATGTAATACTTGGCTTGCTTCCATATGATGAATATTTCCTATATTTTTTTAAGGGTAAAAAGTAATTCGATTAGGTAATCGATTCGATTAACAACAATATTATTTTTCTTGGTGTAAAAATTGTCTCTACCAGAGAATAATGCATCGACATCATAAACAATATTTTCGGCAATCCAAGTGAATATAGCACGTAATTTATCAACAAAATCATCGAATGGTGAAGTGAGATAATGGGATAAGGTCGGGATGTCCTTCGTTTTTGAGCTCGGAGTAGTTCGCGCATGGTGATCAACTTTTGAAAAATCTTGTTCTATTTATTATTAATATAAATATTATGATTAGAAATTCATATGCAAGAATCATCCGAGGTTAGATAGCATGTAAATAAATGCATGAAATTCACCAGCTGCGTTATAATGTTCCACAAAATCACGCGTCACGACCTGTGAAATTTTACTACAAATACAATCACCGTTAATGATTTGTTTTTAATATTTATTCAATCAATCAATTGATTCGTTATACCTAATAGGATCAATATCATCATTTTCAACATTGCCAGTGCGAGAATGTGAAGAATTACTAGTGTGGGAATGTGAAGAATTATCAGTGCGAGAATGTGAAGAATTACTACTAGTGGGAGGAGAAGTTGATGATGACGATTTCTCTTCGTGATTAAAAACGTCTTCATGACTATTGTGTTTTGGAGGAGTCTCCAAAACATTTTCATGTTTTGGATGAGTTTCAACTATGTCTTCATGACTATTGTGTTTTGGATGAGTTTCAAAAAAGTCTTCATTTTTTGGTTGAGTTTCAAAAACGTCTTCATGATTATTGTGTTTTGGATGAGTTTCAACGTCGTCTTCATAATTATCGTGTTTTGGATGAGTTTCAACAACGGATAAAATATTTCCTTTTTCTTTTTCATCGTTACTTTGAGGATGATATTTATCGAGTAAACTTTCAATTGGAACACCGTCTTCCAAGGGTGGATGTTCAAATGTATATGTCTTGGGTTCCAATGAATCAATTGGTTCAGTTGTTGTATAAGTGATTGTCTTTGTCGTCTCTTTTCCATCTGGATCGGTGGTTGTTATTGTTTTTATTACGGTCACTATCATGCGAAGATTATGATTTTTATGTAGTCAAAAATTATGTAGTCAAAATTATTGCGTTTTTAAATTGATCGATGAGACTTACCGAGGTTTCCACTTCCATTGCTATTGTTGCCACTTCCACTACTATTGTTGTCTCCTCTATAGACATCATTACCATCTTTAGGAGGAGGAGTGGGAAGAGGAGGCGTGGGAAGAGCACGGTCGTGATTATCAGTAATTTCGGGGATAGTATTAATAGGACTATTTTTATTCGAATTTTCTTTAATTTGGGGGATAGTCTTAGTGTAGCTATCCGCTTTCTCTTCGTTCTTTTTACGAATGCTCAATGGCCGTTTCAAAAGAGCTTTCCAGTTTGGCATTTTTACTCTATTTTACTGTTGAGTATTTAGATTTTTATGCTTGAATGTTTAAATTGATAAGAAAAAGACTCTGTAAAAGAAATTATGCTTGTATGTTTAAAGTGATAAGAAAAAACAGTAATAGAAATAATTTGACGAAAACACTTGTGGTGTTTATATGTAAAAATGTAGAATATATATTTATTTATTTATACTATAATATATTAGATGTTACTTTAAAATACAAACGCGCGTTGTGAGCACTTTTCTGTATAGCGATAGTACAACAAATACATACATGAAAAAGTTGGGGAAGTATATTTCCTATTTCTGTTATTATGATGGGGAAAATACGATAGCTAGATTTGGGCGTCGAAATGCTCGTAGTAATTTTTCGTTGTTGGTCAATGAAATTTAAACAATAAATCTAATTACGTATTCGTCGTGAAATATATGATGTATTCTTGTCGTCGATAAACAATGCTAAGTTCTCATTATGCTACAAATAGAAAACAATGTAGGATCCAAACACGGTTAGGATTTGGGTTAATTTCCGTTTTGATTTAGCTTCTTTTGTATAGTTCCCTGATCAAAACCGATCATGTAAAACGTCGGGTATAGTTCGTAGTTGTATCAATTATGAAATAAATATTTATGCACGATTTTTCCCTTTAATTAGTTTCCATTTTTACTATGTTAATATGCGTTTTGATGTATATAACCGAATTTGCAGCTTGTTATCCTATTTAAATGATGAAAAACGACATTCAATTTATTATCTCGCACGGTCATTGGTGTAAAAAATATCTTTGTTTGGAAAACATTATACGAATAAATAAAGCAGATTGAACAAAGTAATTTTTGGTCCCAGCAAATTTTTAAGATGAATCTTATTTTTTCCTTTGGTCCTTGGAAAATATTATCAAGTTGTGCTTTGGAGGTTTGGTAATAAATTTAATATCGAGATAAATCAATCTTTGCCGTGATTCTAAATTAATAATTCAAGTTAACGATCGTTTGCAAATTCTTCAGCTCAAGTTTGATCAATCGGCAATAGTCTTGAAACGTGTCAAGTATTCTAAAAGTAGTTACTAATTTGATAAGAAAACAACAAAACTCTGCTAATTGCCAAAGCTTGATAAAAGATGTGTCTCAATTATCAGTAACTTTTGTCTTCAAGTGACTATTAAACATTACTCAAGATATTCAACAAAGAAAAAGTAGCAGATATTTTAGAAGCTACTGGAACAGGAAAAACTTTCCTTTGTTGGTCTTTGTCAGGAGTAAATGGCCTTTTTTTCCTTGTTAGGTGAGTAATCTCTGTTTTTTTTTTTCATTGTTGTTATTGGTGTTTTTACTCTGTTGTGTGGAGACTTTAACTATGTTCATTCAAAAGCTTATTCTTCCGGGAATAAGCACAATTCTTTGGGATCCAAAAAACGGGATAATGCCTATTCCCGAACATTTTCTCGCAATTCGAAAGTACGTATTGTCATTTAAGGCGATTTTAGATATATTTTGTGATTTGATATTAGTCATGGTTTATTACTTGCGCATTTCCGAGAATCTAACAACTAAACAATATAGAGTAATTTTTATTAAGCATATGAATTTGGTCATAAATTAAAATAAGCTTATAAAAATTTATTACATAAATAAATAAGTCATTTTAAATATTCATACAATAAAAATCTTAAATAAAAAATTCTAAATCTCTTTTTTTATATTACTCTTAAATGAAAAATAATTTAAAGGCTTTATTGGTTTTAAAGAAATCAGCAATGTTTGATTAAATTGGTTTTACCAATAAAATATTAATTAAAATAATTATAAATTACTGCTATTTAAATTATAATTACTAAATTAATTAATTGCAATTAATTAAACTCTATTCTAGTTTATATTGCAATATATTAATATATTGTAATTTAATATAACTAAATTATTATCGTTATACAATCTGACCTCCAAAGTCACACTCGTTTAAAGGGATTTTATAGTGCCAGTTCCAAGCGTATATATTAAGCGAAGTATACATATCTTAATACATACTCTTGGTAAAATTCCTTTATGAATTTAGAGAGGATAAAGTGTGTCAAAGTTAAAATTTTTAAGAACAAAAATACATGTATCAGTATTAACAAAAAAAGAAATTACTCTGAAATACGTGGTCGATCTTTGGAATTATATCTATCGCTACTGGCAATTGGAAATAAAAAACGACATAATTACCAAATTAAAATATTTATTAAAAATAAAACCAAAAAATGGTTTATTCTTATCAAAAATTATAAAGAAAAATCTTCAAGTAGATGAAACATTGAATAAATAAGAACTAGATAAAGATGAATACGTGAAATATATAAAAGTATTATTATTATATAAAATAAACAAAATTTAGAATTCAAGCCAAGGTTTAATAAAAATTGAAGTACTTAAAGTCAAGTAAATTCTCGAGTTCTCTTTGTATAGATCTTGAAAATTAACATTTCTTGTCATCATTTTGGATTTCACATCAATTTTTCTTTCAAGAGTTTTGTTGATAATTGCAAAACTGATTTCTGTCCGATTTGGTGGTTGCCAACCAGAAGAATTATTTGACCATTATTATTAATAAATCGCATATTACTATTCCCCAAGCAATATAATATCAGCCTTCAGCTTTAGATAACCGAACATTGAAATTTGCTGAATTTACTGCCAAGTTATCTTTGCTTCGACTACCTCTGGATTAGCTCGTCCTAATGGTCTTTTAAACCCAAATCAAATCTAAGACATTATTCAATTAATTTAAGCAACAAAAAAAGAAAATTGATTATGTTTAGAAAATTAAGATATTTTGAATAGTCGGAATATCAAAACTGTGGTGCATAACATCTAAATTCAAACTTTTTTTTACTAAAAAATAGATATAAAATTTACTTGACACTTGAATTTAATATCGATATAGTAAGCTAGGCGATTAACCTTTTTGCAGGATCCGCTACCTGAATAAATTATTGGCCAAGTAGCTCGCCATAAAATGGCTTATCATTATGATGACAGTCTTGCTTCTAATATGCAGTAAGCTATCGAGGAAACTGGAAGAACTAACAAAAGTGAAGTAAAGAAAAAATCCGTCCTTTAAAAAAGCAAATGAAAAAAGTTGTCCAGGATTCTTTGATAATTAAGAGACTTAATTTTGAACTTACAGAAAACTGCCTAAGGTAAGTAACTAAATTTTATTTTTGGAAAATATTTCTTCATTTGAAATAACTCCATTAACACTTTTTTTTACTTTGCTATCTCAGCTATTCAAAATTTTCCAAGATCAACCAACTTAACTATATTAAAAGAATTTCTTGGTTTAGTCTTATATTATTGGTGCTTTGTTAAAGAATTTGCAAAAATTGCAGTTCTATTATATCAATTTATGCAAAAAAATCTTTTACTGAATTAAAGAAAGTTAAAAAGCTTTTTCTTTTTAATTTATCACTTGTTTTTTAATTGATTTTTCCAATAGTAAATATTTATCAATATCATATATAAGAGCATTTTTTGTAATCTTGAAAATATTTTTTTGTTTAAGATTAATATGGAAAATATTAAGTCAGAAAAAATTATTGTGATTAGTATTTTAGATTTTTTGATTGAGCTTATTGGTTATAAAGTTAATTAATTTCTAAGTTTATAATAAACTAAAACAATAATATAATAACAATAAAAAAATACAATAGCAAAAAAATTATTAATAAAATAATAAAATATGAAAAACACAAATTTTTTGAATTTTACTAATAAAAATTTTTTATTTTTACATTAAATTAAAAATAGTATTATATATTTTAATATATATTTTTTATAAACAAACTAATAAATTAAAATTCAAAAAAATCTTTGAATAGATATTTGAATTAATATTTAAATGGATCTTTAAATAAAAATAACTTAGTTAATAGAATATAATTATTCAGTAAGAATATAATAAAATATAATAAAAGAATATAATTATTTGATAATTTAAAATAATAAAATCTGATTTATAACAATATCAAAATAAATTTATAATTTATATTTTAATATATATTTTTTGAATTTTTTAAATTTAATCTGATAAAGTTATTTTAATTACAAAGTTATTATAAAAATTTTATAATTAAAATATAAATTTAATTATCCAATAATTTTTTAATTAAAACAACTTGATTAAATTAAATTTAAAAATATTTATTAATAAAATAATACAAATTATTTTATTGAAATTATTTATAATTATTTTTTACAAAAAAAAGAAATATATCACTTTCAAAATATATTATAATTAATAAAAAAATTTTGGATTAATCAAAAAATTTGAAAAAAATATAATTTTCTATTTTATTATAGAATGTAATAACATAAAATATTCAATTTTAATTATCTTACAAAAAATATTATAATTTTTAAATAAATAAAAAAATTCTCTTTTAAATTGATAATTCTTAAATAAAATTATATTTTTAGAAGAAAAATTTTTTTGATTTTTATTTTTAATAAAGTTATAATAATTTGAATAGAGTTATAATAATTTGAATATTATTTACTTTATATATGAATTGAAAATTTGGTGCATGCTTATATAAAGTCTCATAATTTTTGAACCAAGAATTAAAATAAAAAATTTTTTTTAGTAAAGTTACAACTTGATAAAAAAAATTTTTTTGATTTATTTTTAATTATAAAATTTTTGGTGCTATTTAGAAAGAAAAAATTAAGAAAGAGAAATAATAAACTAAATTTTTTAGACTAAAAATACTTTATATAATTGCCTAAATTTGATACTGAAATATAATATAATTATTTGATTGGCTAGCATTAAATCATATAATAAAGCATTATTATATAATAACTATCAAAATTTGGTGCTGAAGCTGAAATTAACGCATCCTATTGGCTGATCAATTTTTATTCTCTAATTTCATTGGTCAATTTCAGCATCAGTCGCGACAGTTATTTGATTGAGTATTAAAGGATTTTTAGCATTTCAACTATCAAATCTGAAATTTTCAGCCAATTCGTGACACACAACAATATGGCAAATGTTTTTTTTCGCTACGTACACAGCCCTTACGTTTACAAAGACGCGAAACACTTTCTCATGGGTCTTTCTATACATCGATAAGCATGTACATGTATCCGTTATAATTGGTAAAACGCGACAGATCCTTAACTAAAACAAACTGACGCGTTTTTTTGTTTTCTTTTTGAATGTAACGTATCATCAAAACAATAAAGAACTTTATAAAAAGGAGAGAAAGATGGGCGGGAAGCTTTTCTTTTGAAACAATACCTTCTAATTTACTCCCAAAACACGTTAATCATATACTTTATTTCTTCGGTTCATCTTTATTTTGTTTTTAATAATATACGACAAAACAAATCTTAATACACGAAGCCTTCGCTTTAAATCTAACACAATAAATAATAGTAATGGCAAAAGAGAAGTCAAAACGAACCGGAGGTTTAAACATACTTTTAATTACTTTTCATTGCTTTTCCTTTTTCTTTGTTAAAATTTTCTAAAAGTCGTGCTGTTTTTAACCACCACATTATCGAAAATCAGCCAAAAAACTCACTCCATATAATAAATTCATGAAAAGCGAACTGGTCAAAGTCAAAGCAGAAAATCCAGATGTAAATCATAAAGATGCATTCAAATTAGTTGCGATACGATGGAAGGAATCGTAAGTTTTAGATTTTATTTTCTTGACGAGGAAAATGTCTTCCTAATTGATCTTAATTTTTCTTTAGGCCGGAAAATCCAAAGAATCAGACTAAATGAAAGAAACATCTCGATACTTGTGATTCAATCCCACTATCTATTATTATCACCCTTATTCAATCACTCGGAATATAGTATATCAGCTTTTTAATTAATTTTTGTATGTGCTCTGTCATTAAATGTATATAAATATAAAGTTTGTTTCAATCAATAAATAACACCTTAATGTGAATTTGCACAACAAACTCAGTGATATGTAATATTTGCGGTAAAGCAGCGTATACAAAGTTTGTCAATCGATGGATAATTGTAAATGTCATCTATTATGTTGGATTAAAAAAATTATCCAAACTCATCTAATAAATTATACAAGAAATCTACTCCGAATCATCATCTCCCGAATCATCTTTACCACCTTGCTGACGTTGCTTATCCTGAGAATTAACTGCATCAGCAAGATCTGTTTTCGCATCAGTCTCATCTTGTAGTCTTATTCCTTTGTCAAAGAAAGCAGTATTCATTATTTTTAGTTCTATATCAAAAAACAATCCAAAGACTGTCCTCTACTACTTTAATAGCTTACTAATTAACTGTGCAATTGCCACTTGTGTCTTTTTATCCAATTTAGCTAATTTCTTTTCTACATCTCGTTTTAGATCCCAGTTTGGTTTTTTGGGAGCTAAATTGAATAAATCCTATAATGAAATGATTACTAATAATATATTGAAAAAATATTAATAATTAGATGATGATATAGACACTTACAACTTCTTCAGCCCTTTTGGCTTCCTCCTCCTTTGCAACTTCCCGAGTTAATTTTTCTACTTGTTTTTCCACAGTTTCGTCAACATCCATGGATGTGGCGATATTTATCTTTGACTGTTCCTTGATGTCTTCATTTATAGGTGTATAATTACGAAAACGTAAAAGTGTTGGCCTTTTACAGATAGATTATGGATTTTAGTTATTAATAAGTTATTTACAATGATATATTCTCTTTTACTATGTAAATTATACTTGCTTTTCACCTCCTTCGTCATTTAACTCACCCTCTATACTATCTGTTATTGTCTCTGAAGCTTCAATTTTTCGTTTTTTTAACGCGGCAAGCCGTTCTTTTCGCGCTCGAGACGCTTCCTCCATGATTAGTAGCAATACAAGTAAGAAAGTGGAAAATAGTAAATATTGTGCCAAAAAATTTTGAGCGACGTCACGTTTTTTTATTTATTTGGAAAAATTTTTTATTTTTTTTTTGGTCGGTTGATTGAATGGCATTATATAACTTCAAACGTATCCAGCCGGTCCCAGCGGCAAATGACTTTCTGGACATTGTCCTGTCAAGGACACAGCGAAAAACACCGACTGTCATTCATAAAAACTACAAGATTGGAAGAATACGACAATTTTATATGCGTAAAGTTAAATTTACGCAGGATACCTTTGAAGAAAAGTTGAAAGCAATGCTGGAAGAATTTCCCAAACTCGATGTATGAAATTTCTCTTTTGTTCGGAATGTTTGATTTGTTTTTCATGCATTCGATCAAGTAAAACATTTGATTTAGTGAACCTATCTATCTGACCTTTGAAACTTTTGTATTTTTAACGGAAATCTAGGATATTCATCCATTTTACGCCGATTTGATGAATGTATTATATGACAAGGATCATTACAAACTTGCTTTGGGTCAGATTAATACAGCTCGTCATTTGATAGATCAAGTTGCAAAAGAATATGTCCGATTACTGAAATTCGGCGATTCATTGTATCGTTGCAAACAATTGAAGAAAGCAGCGCTTGGCAGGTTTTATGTCCTTTTATATTCTATATAGTATTTATTTAGATTATATATACTAAAAAAACAGTTGTTAATTAGAATGGCGACTATCATGAAACGTCAAAAAGATAGTCTGGCATACCTTGAACAAGTACGACAACATTTATCTCGTCTGCCCTCGATTGATCCTAATACCCGGACTCTACTAGTCTGTGGTTACCCGAATGTAGGAAAGTCTAGTTTCATGAATAAAGTGACGAGAGCCGATGTTGATGTTCAACCATACGCGTTCACCACTAAATCCTTATTTGTCGGACATATGGATTATAAATATCTTAGATGGCAGGTGGGATAATTGATACGTTGAGGATTTTTTCCAATCAATGCAATTCCCTCTTATGTCAATAATAATGATATTATTAGGTTATTGATACTCCTGGTATTTTGGATCATCCATTGGAGCAAATGAATACCATAGAAATGCAATCTGTTACTGCACTCGCGCATTTACGTGCTTGTATTTTGTTTTTTATGGATCTGTCGGAACATTGTGGATATAGTGTCGAAGACCAAGTAAGTTTGCTATAGAGTAATTAGAAATTATTCTTATATTTTCTTAAATTAGCGTAATCTGATTGATAAATTAATATTTTTTACTAGATAAAACTCTATCATAATATCAAGCCTCTGTTCACCAATAAACCCACCTTTATTATCATAAATAAAATCGATATTGTACGTCCTGAAGATTTGCCTGTTGAGCAGCAAGACATGCTAAAAGAAATTGCGGAAAAAGATGGTGCGCAAATTATCCAGTTGAGTTGTTTTACTGACGAGGGTGTGATGGATGCTCGAAATACTGTGAGTCGCTATGATAGTATTTTATTATCACAAATTAGAATAATTAATTTATTAATGAAATTTTATTTACATTAAAAAAAGGCATGTGAAAAATTGTTGACTGCTCGTGTGGAGGTTAAATTGAAGGGTCAAAAGATAAATGACGTCATTAATAAACTCCATCTTGCTGAACCTCAAGCGAGAGATAATGTCGCACGTCCACCAATCATTCCTGAAGAGGTTAAAGGACGTTCATTATTCAACCTTAATGATCCAAATAGACGGAAATTAGAAAGAGATTTAGAAGCCGAGAATGGTGGACCGGGTGTATATAGCGTAGACCTTAATAGTATGTATAATAACAAAGAAAAAGATCATGGCTTTTTAGAAATAAAAAACTAACACTTTTACTTGACTCGACCAAATAGAATTATATATATTCAAGGACCCCGAATGGAGATATGACTCAATACCAGAAATTATCGATGGTAGAAATGTCGCAGATTTTATTGATCCTGATATTCAAGAAAAATTGGATCTTCTTGAACGGGAAGAAGAAAGATTAGAGACCGAAGGATTTTATGACTCGACTGAAGAAATTGTATGTTGTCCTCGTTTTTCTTTTTATTTATGATTCTGATGATGACCATTCTCTTTTTTTTTTAGGTTGATTCGGAAGATGAGGCATTAAGGGACTTGGCCACTGAGATACGAGAGAAGAAGAAATTTATCATTCAAGCACATAGGTCTAAAAAAATGATGAAAAATCGTCCAATTTTGCCGAGAACTGTAAAGACCAAAGTAAGCATTATAGACTTCGACGAAACTTGATCACAAGTCTAATAAATTTTTTAATCTTAGTCTATGGAGGAAATGGAAAAAACAATTGGGCAAACTCGGACTTGATACGAGTGCAGTGCGTGCTCGTAGTCTAACACGTAAAAGAAAACGAAACGATAATGACGGCGACGACTCCGAGCAAATGGATATTGATCTTCCTCCCAATGTCCTTAAGAGTAGAAGACTTGGTGTGTCTGTTTCCCGTGATCGAAGCGTTGCAGGATTGGCTGTTGGACAAGTAAGTAAATTCATATATATACACCTTGCGCAATTCGATTTTATCATATACGCATAATTAATCATCAAAAAACACTTTTAAATAGCAAAAACAAACAACAAAATATCGGAAATTTGCACAACGCCGTCCAAATCAATTTGCTAAAGCTGGCGAAGCTGATCGAAGTATTCAAGTGAAACGGCCAAAGCACTTGTTTAGTAAAAAGAGTGGTATCGGAAAGAGAGATTGGCGATAAAAATGATAGACAGACTGAACGAGTACATTTTATTTTTAAAGTTGCTACAATGTATAAATACATTTATTATTTATAAGATATTTCAAATAATTCACAAAACAAACAAATAAATTATATAGAGAGAGAGAGATGAGAGAGAGATGACTAATGCCAAAATTAATAATAAAGTTCTCTCTATGACCACCCTCCATAATTGTTAGGATATTGAGGAGTCTGAGGTGGAAATTGTTGTTGCTGTAGTGGTGGTGGTGGTGGTTGTGCTAATGGTGTTAGTGGTGCTTGTTGTTGCTGTTGGACTGGTGGTGGTGGTGGTTGTTGATGTTGATTATTAGGATCATAAGGAATATAATTACCGTGTGCGTAAATAGGATGATATTGTTGTTGAATGTTCATGGCGGGAGATTGTTGAGTTTGAATTGGCATTGGCATTGACTGAGGATTATAAGGAGCAGCAACTTGATGTGGCAAAACTGGAGTTGCCACAGTTGGTTGAGTGTAATAAAATGATGATGGATGTTGTTGCTGTTGTTGAAATTGTGGTGGTGGTTGAGCATAAGGTGGAACTGGTAAAGGGTTCGGATGTTGATGGGGTTGTTGAGTATATGTAGTAGATACTGTTGAATATGAAGAATTAGGTGGTGATAAGATATAAGATGAATTAGAAGTGGATGAATAAGATGATATTGATGGAGAAGGAGAAGGCGGATGTTGTTGTTGATGATGAAATTGTGGTGATGAATTAGGATGGAGACTATTAGGACGTGGTGGTGGGGGAGGTGGCGTTGATTGATAATCAACTGAATTTGGTTTATTGCTATTAGCCACATTCTTTTCTTCTTCTTCCATTAATCTTCTTGCAAATTCTTCGTCATCTTTTTCTTGTTGTTGTTTCGCCAAAAAAAGTTGTTCTTCTGTTGAATATTGTTTGGCAAGTTCTTCATCTTGTCGTTGTTGTTCAAGAACAGTTATTGGTTTATTAGATATTGGATACGGGGAAACTACTCCATGTTGTAAATAATGTTCTTGTTGTTCTTGCTGTTGTTGTTGCTGTTGTTGTTGTTGTTGTTGTTGTTGTTGTTGCTGCTGCTGCTTATCCTTCTTCTTTTTGGCCGGATATTTTGGAACATGTTGAGATTCACCTGTCGTCAGATTCACTTTATTATCTTGATTTTTGATCAAACTCACAGATTTACCCAGCAATTTATCGTCCCATTCATCCAAAAATGCGAGCATAGTGATACAAAGCACATATTCCAATCCGCGCTTATCATTTACCGGAATTCTGTCCATGTTCCAGTACATTAATGTGAGAACACCCAACGTATTCGATTTCTGTTGATAGAGTGCAATTCCGATACTTGGATCGGGATCATGAACCATTTTACATTCAAGATCTTTGGAAAATATATTCCCGCGTTTCTGCCAATAGTATTCTTCATTCTCCCATCGGAATTTATACTCGAAAGTTATTTTTCCCGTGTTATCGAATGTAAATTCATCATCTGGCTATAATTTATTTTCACCGTTATTTAGTATTAAACAAAGTAAAATATTATAATTATATTATATACTGGTAACAAAAATATTTCTTGATTTACCTGAAACATTATTATTTGTTTCGACTTTGAATTACTTTTTTGACCTTGTATCTCGACATGAGCTACATCAGATATTGGATCAATCAATGTAATGCAATAAGGATTCGTATTTGTCTAGAAAAAAAATCAAATATTAAAAGATTGCGTTTGCCTTTCCTGTTTTCGCTTTTCATTAAGGCAACCTATATATTAAATAAACGAGTAGCATACCGTATGTCTAGTTTTTCGATACCGTAGCTCTTTTGTCTTTAAGTCTTTAAGCTCAACATCGTATTTATTCACACCTCTTTCAAGTAATATATTAATAAGGTCGCCGTCTTCTTGAATCGGCATGCTTTTTTCTCTTTTCACAAGCTTTTTCAGGGAATTTATTCTATTCAACTTTGACTGTGCCGTGTTGAATGATTGCTTGTTTTTTTACCGTAGGTGATGGTTTTTTCGGGTAGAGAAATGTATAATTTGTGATACAGATAAATAGATATTTATATAGAAAATTTAAACGGCTAAAACTTCCGAACCCGAGGACGACTAATCCAATTATGTACAGCTTATCGTTATTTTGATTAGCATTGTGGTATTTATGTCATCTATATGCTATATCTTTTTTGGAGATTAGTTTCGAGAAAATCTACCGCTAATACTTTTTTATGATTAAAGATTACAAGGCGAAAGCGAAAGAGATCTTTTGGATTATTGATCACTTGGCAACAGCCAAGATTCTTTCTAGTGTTTTCGTCTGAAAAATTCGATCCATTTATTGGTGTTGTCCAATATTGATTAAACTCTTGTCATTTCATTATTCTAATTCATAAATCCTATGACAATAATGCAGTATAGATATCAAAGGCATAGTCCTTGTGCTACATTGAAAAGGTTTATTAGGTTTTATGTATAGCGATAGGGTTTTATTTGTTGGATGAAATCAATTATTTGTCAAGTTATTGATCGAAAAGTTGTGAAAACGCGAGGCATCTTTTTAGATCATTCGTGTCCGTGTCATTATTATTATATATATGGGAAATTTTCCCATTCGCCAAAGAATGAATGAATTCTTTTCTCCAACGACAACCACACTACTAGTCTATTATTAGCAACACACAATGTTAAAAAGATCTTATGATTCGCTAAAAATAGTAAATAAAGCAGATTGTGTTCTGTTACTCTCTTTACAACCTGTGTATGACAAACACCACAACTACTGGACGACAACCTTCCTTGTTTTTGTTGTTTTGTTCACCTACTCTTCTCTTTTCGTCAAAAATAATATCTCTCTACAACCAATAATATTACCTATTTGTGATCGCTGGTCCTCGCGTTAAATGGTACCATTCGTCTTACTGTCTATCGCTTAATAAACTTTCGACCTACTACCATTTACGACAGACCACACTCACACATAATTACGTTTATACACACAACTCTTCTTATCTACACACACTCGCACATACAGTTCATTAAAACGTTAAATTTCATAAAGTTTCGAAGAATGCCCGATCTCAACGAAGTCATCCCAGATGAATCGGGGCACTCGAGCAAGCAAAACTTAGCCACATGCACCAAATGTGGGCTGGTAATAGTGGGCCAGTTCGTAAGAGCGTTAGGTGGAACTTTTCATTTGGATTGCTTCAAATGTCAGGTAATCTATGCATCCTCTTTTAAGTCGTATTGTTCGCTATGATTATCGTTGATTGTAAACACCCTTTTTCTGTCTATTTTAGGATTGTGGAGAAATAGTAGCCGCGAAATTTTTTCCAATAGACGAACCTGACGGTAAACAGCACCCTCTTTGTGAGCGAGACTATTTCAGCCGGTTGAATCTCATCTGTGCAAAGTGTGGCGGTGCTCTTCGTGGCTCATATATCACAGCCCTTGAAAAGAAATATCACATTGAACATTTTACCTGTTCGGTTTGCCCAACAGTGTTTGGCCCGCAAGATTCTTATTATGAGCATGACAGTCAAGTTTATTGTCATTATCATTATTCAACAAAATTTGCCGTGAAATGTACCGGCTGTCAGACTGCCATATTAAAACAATTTGTCGAGATTAATCGTAACAACATTGATGAACATTGGCATCCAGAATGTTATATGATTCATAAGGTATTTATTTTTCGTTTCTCATCATAAGGTTTCATTTTTGATATTCAAAAAAAAATCGAATCTCTAATTTATTATATTCCCGAAATCATAAATAAATCACGAATGAATCAAAATAGTTTTGGAATGTAAAATTATCATCGCATTCTGATGACAATCCAAATATAAAACAAGGTAAAATTTTTAATGATCAAGTTCAAATTTATTACTATAAAAAATGATCATTTAACCGAGACTTTTCTATGATTAGAAAGAGAACATAACACACCAGATGAACTAAAAAACCTGCAGAAGGTTATGGAAGAAAAGGTCTACAATATATGGACCGTTCTTTCTGCGTTTGAAGAATCATCTGCTTCTTGCATTTCAGACATGCTTTTGCATGTATCAAATGGCGCGTATATTGATGGCGTAAAAATGGCCGAAAAATTCATAATGCACGTGGAAATTCTATTTATTGCTATTGACGAATTAGAATATCAATTGACTCAAGCTAATGGACAAGGTACTTTGCGGAAATTTATTAGCTTGGCAAAATATAAAAATATTGATTGTTACATTATATTTACACTGTAAGGACTCCAACATAATAGAGAAGCTAAAATGTTGTGCAAGAAAATCGTAAACTTCTTTACACTATTGTCTCACACGCAGGAAACGGGTGTAAGACAATTGGGAATTACTCAAGAATTATTATCGTTAGTGACAGGTTTAGCACATTATCTGAAAGTGTTGATTAGAATTGCGCTGACGGGAGCTCTAAAATTGGTAATTAATCAATGAAAATAATTGTGTGTTTTTTTTTAATTATCAATCTAATAATAAATTCTTAATGATAAAAATATATATATATATAGGAAAGAGATTTTAATAATACAACGGCAATTAGTATATTCTTGAATAAATTAATTGAACTAGCAAATAATGAGAACCGGCAGCAAGAATCTCATATCGACGGTGAAGTGACTTCAGATCTTTGTCATTCGTGTAGAATTACCGTTGAAGAGGAATGCTTCAAATTTGGACATCATCGTTGGCACAACGGTTGTCTTCGATGTTCGGGATGTGGACGTGAATTAAGTTCAATTTATTTAGAGGCGAGATTTAATACGATAACCGAGCTAACATTCTGTTCAAATTGTGCTACTGAACCATCGGCCACCGGATTTGAACAAGTTACACAACTTGGTCAATATACTTACTTATTACGGGTTGCATTATCACGACTTTACAATTTGCTTCGGCGTAAAGGTAATTAGTTATATCTCATCATCGTACCAATATACAATATTATATCTCTTCGATATCATGTCGTTTTCATTTGGTCTTGATATCGATAATCAAAAATTCAATTTTTAGATGATCTGAGTTTTTCTGAGTACGAGGCTAATTGTGGACGCAAGGATGATGCTGGACTTAGCCGTAAAGATTCACGGTCAAAATCATATTCTAGCGGGGACAATGGATTCGAATCAATAAATATGAGCGATATAAAACGTATGAAATCTGTGCATATGGATAGGAAATTGTCCACATCAGCAAGAATCGCAAAAAGATCACTTATCATAGAACAAGAATCTGGACCGAATCTTACTGGTTTTGATGTAACACGAAATAATCTAATAAGAGCACCTTCACAACGTCAAGTGAAAATCGTAGACGATAAGCTATCCGAGTGTCACGAAGAGGACAATATTAGTTTTGAGAATAACGAAAATGAACCTATCACTTTAGGAGATCTTTCGGCGATGGCCGCGACCGCACAAGGACGAACCCCCGCGGAGAAATTGCAACTCAAAAGACAAAAACGAATGTCAAAGACAAAAAATTATCTGTCTGAATTATCTCCGATAGAATTCTTTATCGTCAAACACGTTGCAGTTCTTATAATGGATCAATACTTAAAAGAACATTATAACCTTGAAGAGTTACTCGATCTGATTGGTTCCAAAAAGGCAACTCTTTGGACTAAATTTGTCACCACTATTAAGGCGGCAGAGAAAAAACCCGTGAAAAAGAAAGGTAAGCGTGTCTTATAATTATTGTTTGTATGGACAAAATTTTGATTCAAATAGACATTGTTATTTTTCTTTTGTTGATATGTTAAGATGATGTATGCGGATTGTTCTTTTGCAAATAGGTACATTTGGTGTACCTTTGGAAACACTCGCTGATAGATACGGCGTAGATTCGGTTCTTGGTGCAGGCCCCGGTCGAATAAAAATCCCCTCTTTTATTGATGATAGCATAGCCGCAATGAAAACAATGGGTAATTTTCCTATAAATATTGATTGATATATCATTATAAATGTACCAAAGATATCGAGTCTAATTTCCTCGTTATAATCTATTATTATAGATATGTCTGTTGAGGGTATTTTCCGTAAAAATGGGAATATTAGACGGTTAAAAGACCTTGTCGACGCGATTGATAGAAATCCCTCAACGGTGAATTTGTCTGAAGACAATCCTGTACAAGTTGCTGCTTTAATGAAAAAATTCCTTCGTGATCTCCCTGATCCATTGCTCACCTTTAAGCTTCATAAACTATTTATTACCTCTCAAAGTGAGTGTTTATAATCTGAAATTCTAATATAAGATATAATGACTAATTAATTGATTACCCCCCCCAAATTAGAACTTGAGGATGAGGTAGCACGTAAAAAGATACTTCATCTTACTTGTTGTCTCATGCCAAAACAGAATCGTGATACTATGGAAGTATTATTCATATTCTTAAAATGGGTGGCATCATTTTCACATGTCGATGAAGAAACTGGCAGTAAAATGGACTTGCATAATCTTGCGACTGTAATTACTCCGAATATTCTATATTCTAAATCAAAAGATCCAACAAAAGATGATTCATTTTTGGCTATAGAAGCTGTACATAGCCTTTTACGATATCAGGATGAATTTTGGACGGTGAGTTTCATAAAATATTTATCAATAATATAATTATATATTAATACAATACCAATTATTAAAGGTCCCGGAGGATCTAAGTGCTATTCTTCAAGATCAAGATTTATTTAATAATTTAGAGGCTTTAACAACTAAAGACATTCTAAAAAGATGTGAAAAAATTGTTAAATTGAAAAGATCGCATTCATCTGAAAATTTACATCTTGTCGATAGTGGAGATGAGCAAACGGGTAGTGTGGCAGAAGGAGGATACATAACAATTACATCATCTGACAATTTTAATCCGTCTAATCAGTCGTCTATAATTCGAGATGAAAATAGTGAAGGCAGCTTATATCCTACATCAACAACGACATTAGTTAACAGTGAAAGTTCTATTCCAGTTGAACAACAAGCTTCTTGACCCAATCGACGAATTTCGGAATTGGAGCGATTTGACCCAAAATTGACATATATGTGATGCTGGTGCATTTACATATTTTAATTATTTTTTTGTATTTATTTTTTTATTATTTCATTAGAGCATTCTTCTTGTATGATTATATTTTTATATAGGTTTCTTTCTCTTCATCCGATTCTTTCGTCATTCCTTATTCATTCGATCACACTCCTTTTCATTTTCTATTACTATCTCTATATTACTTTTATTCTCATTATTATTACTATATTATTTTATGATTATTTATTCAACTTTGCTCGTAATTAATTTATTAACTCTAATACCACTGTTGCGAAACATAGTGATGGGAATTTCAAAGACAGGATGGATCGAAAATTTTGGTTGGGTAAAGAAAAATGGGCAAAAAAATAACGCGGAACTGGTTTCTGGCTTTTCCTTGTCAATATATTTGTATGTATGTGCGTGCGAATGTGTGCATGTTTGTGTTTGAAAGCTTGTGGCCACATTCCTTTAGTTAGTAATTAATACTCAAAATAATTTGATTCGCTGTCATGAAATATGCAAACGGTCACATTACCATTAATTAATTGATTAATAATTCATGTACACACGCATTTATATTAATTGTCGTTTATTATCACCATAGTATAATTATTTATTTATTTATTTATTCTCAACTATTATATTTCTCCTAATTGATTAAATACAATCAATAATAATAACTTCAACGTTCATTGATCAGTTGACTAGAAAGATCTTTTAATTTTGTGGCGCATGCTCACTTGGTTTTCGAGCAACAATTCATCTGCATACTAACGCTAACATCAGAGGCGATATTTCATATAAATCACAGAATTTATGAGCTTTGCATCATATAATTCTGGTCATAAATCATGTGCTATGTCTGATAATTCTAAAATGACAAATTCCCTTTGTTCAATTATATAATATTGTGATACCTGCCGGCAACGCATTACAATTACTAATTAGTCTCAAGTTTTTGGGTGTGCCTGCCGTGGGAGGAGGGGGTGGATGTTAGGGGTTAAGTGCGACCATATCATCGTCATGGCGTACAAAAACGGATTCTCGAAAGTTATAAAATGCAATCAATTTATTGTTATAGGGTTGCTGCATCACATCAGATTTGTCTCTTTCTATTGAACAGCGCCCATATAATGACTTTTTTTACTTTTTTTTACACCACATTAAGCACAATCACCACCAGCATTGCGCGTCACCACCACCAGCATTAAGCATCACCATTACGTGTCAATATCAATCTCTTCAAGATTTAGCATTATCCGTTACTAATTTTTTTTAGAATCATGGTTAGTACAAGACGTAGATAGTACCATGGTACATATAGGACAGATATTTGCCAATAAATAAACCGACAACAATCACCCTGATGCGTTGGATGTCCAAGAGACAGTATGATCAAGCCCAAACATTGAATTAGGAGCAGCAATCAATGAAGCAAGAGAGCCTTTTGATGAAGAAATGGCATATGAGGATGCTTTGGAGGATGCTTCTTGAAGAACATTATTGCTGGGATGAAGAAAGATGGGTCCTAAAGAACGATAAATTTATTCAAAATGTATGCCATAAACTGTATAAAGAAGTTCTCCAATTATTTAATTACAGTGCTGTATCCGGGAAAACTATAGTTTTGGTTCGAAATAATAATAGACATATATAAACAATATTTCTGGTTGGTGCAAATTTATTATCCCGAAAACAGACCAGCTGAGGGACTATTCGGTTTTACATTCTCTGTCTACGTGGCCAATTACAAACTGAATACTTGGCATTTTTAGTTTGATGAAAATAAACGGCAAAAAGAATTCGGGAAGCGCATACACTTACAAAGAACAAAAAATTCATCCAAATCGAATCCTTACTTCAAAATTAATTTCAATTCCAAATGATACTGTGTGCCTATTTCTATTTTGAAATATAAGAACATTTCATATTAATTATGAAATTTATTTGGAATATTTAGCGTTAGGTTTTACAAATGTCAGTTTGTATGAGGTAAAATCACCCTTTCTTAACTCATATTCATTACTATTTTTTGCAAAACAGATTTCGATTTTAGTACACCATACGAAATCAATGAGAATAAAAATATATCGAGTGTCTTACAAGGAAAACTATAAATTCATAATGAAACACTATCAGAAGAAATGGTACTTATATTTTACTAAATTACACTTGTAAATATTGGAGGCATATCACTTATGAATCGATCTTGATAGACATAGGAGGAAAATTCGCGATAAACGAGATAAATCGTTAAGTGATAAGAAAAATTTGTACAAGGTATTTTTATGGCGCCTTATTGATTTTATTTCTAAATGACATTCTAAAAATAAATGATCAATAATGAAAAGTTGAAAGAACAACTTGACACGGCCACAAAAGACTACGATTATTTCAATGACCTTTTTAAAAAAAAGAACTTACGCAATTTTTCGAATATCGTACCCAATTCATTGAACCTATTTTCGAGAAATTCTATCACATACAACTGAAAATCCATGGTCTTTTGCTGGACCAGATGGACCGATTAGTGGGCATCGGACCGGTACTTTGATGTGAACTCTGATATCAAGAGACGTGGGGATATTCAGGAAAAGATGGAAGTATCGACGCTGCTTGGACGACGAGCAAAACATGAGAAACGACGTAATATATATGGGATTATTTTGAGTAATTGCATATTTTATGTATTTTACGACCGTTGAATTCACGATCATCAGGCAGTTCGAAAACACGTATAACCAGCACAGAATTAATAGACGAGATAGAAGAATACGACCACAAAGACGATGTGCCACCACCGTACACAGCTTCGCCTACTACTTATATATCAAGAGGCATAAATAACAATAATGAAAAGTAGTACTACCACTAGCAGAGTAACCAGTCTTCATAACAATTTTAACAATAATGATTACAATAGTAGCTAGCAATGCAAAGTGAGCATCCGCCGCAACCATCAAGCCCATAAAACCAGCCATCAAATACGTGATAGCACTGCATGATTACGACTGAGGATAAGAATGATTGGTGGGCGGGAGACTTAATGGTGTGATTGGCGTTAATTATTTTTCATTATTATTTATATCATTTGTTGTTATTCTGAATCTACTTTATGAATTTTTAGGAAGAACGTTAAACCAAGCAAACAATATCTGGTGTTTGTAAAAACGATCAAACAACATTATACTTATATTATAATAACTATTGTGATTAAATCTTATTATGTCGTTTTTTTGTACAAGATCAAAATCGGTGTTTTTTTTTATTAGAATCTTTTATCTATTTTTTTATTGATTTTGGAACATGTAGACAATCCTACCGCAGTTTTTTAGTTGATTATTTATACATGAACATGGGTTTTTCGCGATCTGCAAGCCACAATTATTGTTATGATGTATTAGTGAACGTTATCAATTAGTACATGTAATTTATTGCAAGTGTTCAAGCGGATATTACGCCAAGAAAAGATGGGTCGAAAATTATAACAAGTACACCATAGTTTAGCAAAAAACATACCATACCGATACTTCTTTGCTTGATCCGACAATACGTATCAGCGTCAAAGCGATCTTCCTATAACAATGACTAATTAAATAATGATGACCCAAACACGCGAATTTTTTACTAATTACCCCAACCATATCTTCACCTTAGCTTTGTGATGTTATAATAAAAAAATTACCCACGCAATGATCTATTATCGTTATCGATACACGTACGATATTATAATTATTTATTTAGTCGAAATCTATATAAAACCACCCACCACCACCACAGCAAAAACACATCATTTTCTTTTCACATACAACCTACGATACACAAAATACGCGACACAGCACTTTAGGACTAGGACTAGAACTTGACACTATGGTATAAAATGTGTTGTGTTTAACTTGTTTGACACGTTTGACAATTAGAACGGACGAAACGGACAGAACGGATGGTAAAAAAACTTGTGCTTGTTGTGCTTAACTTGCTTAATGTGCTTCACGATTAGAACGGATGAAACGGACGGAACGAATGGTAAAAACTTGTGCTTGTTGTGCTTAACTTGCTTAACGATTAGAACGGACGAAACGGATAGAACGAATGGTAAAAAACTTGTGCTTGTTGTGTTTAACTTTCTTGACAATTAGATCGGACGAAACGGATAGAACGGATGGTAAAAACTTGTGCTTGCCGTGTTGCTTGCCGTTCGCGACTTGTTTATCTTCTATGCAATAGACCCAAGAACGGCGGAAGCGGGCCGGTTGAACAACCCACCACCACGCTGCGGAAAAGCCTGGTG